ATCTCGGCCATGACGGTGCGAGCGACATGAGTGTCTCCCGACAAAGCTGTATCTCAGGCTCGATACCAACTGCCAACATTGGTGTCGAGGAGCAGTATGGCGAGATCAAAGTGCCGGACGATGTCGACAACCGCCAAGGGTACGGACGTCGCGTCACACAAGATTTTGGCTTCCCAGGCGCACGGATCAAGTCGTATGGCATCAACAAGACAAGCCGACCGTTACGAGACCCTGGCAATTGGACTAAGCGAGCGTGCGGACACTTCTCATACATGGGCAAAACCGAGCACCGCGAGCATGCACAAGAGAAGATATGTCGGCAATGTTCGACCCGAGTACCAGTGCTTGAAGAGCTACTGTCTACGAAGCGGCGGACACGCAGACGAGCTTCATCAGAATCATTGACCTCTACAACCCCTTCATCGAAAATCTCCACAGATGACTGTTGCCGCCGGCAGAGGCGTCGTCGGTGTCACTCTGAAAGCATGTCGCTTGACAGATGCGGAGATAGATTTGCTGATGAGTTGGGTCATATCATCGACAATATTCTAGAAGAGCATGCAAACACACTCCAGAATGTCATCAGCAACATCAAGAACACTCAACCCAGTCTCGACCAGCTTCGAAGGGTGTCTGGAGACCTTGTTCAGCGATGCAATACCAACGGATGTGATAGAAATCGTTGCCAGACATCCTGTCGTCCAGCACGAGCATCCTGTCGACGAGACGATGATTGGCATCCACCTTGCCCATATCTCCCACCCAAAGCGGCAGAGAAACTCAATGTTGGGGCTACAGGCCAAGTCAAGCCGAACCTTAACGATCCTGAATCGAGCCTGCGTGAAGAGGTGCAGTCAATACCCGACCTGGTCGATCTTGTCAAATCTGCAGCCGACGATCTCGGCTTCGATCTTGATCGAAGGCCCACCGCGACCGACGATGACGAGTTCCACAACGCCCCTTACGAGGCCACACCCATGGATTCTGTCTCACGTCACACGGATGTCTCCTTCGGGACGACAGAAAACAGGGCGACGGAGGACGAGCCGCTTACCGAGGACAGCTGGCTACAGCAAACGCGTAGACACTTGACCGAACTTTCTGAGGCCCGAGAGCAGCTTATGGACGAACTAGATTCCATCGCTGGAGATCTCGACGTCAAATTTCGAGACCAACCAGAGGTTGAGTCGGTGACTGATTCGGATGCACCGCATGCACACCGTGTACTCAGCAAAGCTTCCACAGGTCTCTCGCGTACATCCACATTACAGAGAGACGCTCTTATCGACTCAGTACAGCGTATGCTCAGCAAAGCGCCTACTGTCATCTCAAGCAGCTCTACATGGCATGAGCAGAATCAGGGAGAAGAGGCTGCTGATGACCTCGATTCCAGCAAAGCGCCTACTGGCATCTCACGCAGCTCTACGTGGCATGAGCAGAGCCAGGAAGAGGCTGCTGATGACCTCGATTTCAACCCGGCACAGCGCAGATCAAGCAAAGCTCCTACCGGTCTCTCACGCACGTCTACTTCGCAGAAAGATGCTATGATCGACTCGGTACAACGTGTGCAACGTGTGCTCAGTAAGATCCCCACCGGCCTCTCACGCAGGGCTACACGGCATGGAGAAGATGACGGAGATGAGGAAGAGAAAGAAGCAGTCGATAATCGCAGTCTCGGACTTGTGCAGCGTGTACTGAGCCCAACCCCTGCAGACTTCTCGCGCACGTCTACATCGCAAGTAGATGCCATCGTCGACTCGGTACAGCGCGTGCAACGCGTGCTCAGCAAGATTCCTACTGGCCTCTCACGCAGCTCTACGTGGCATGGAGAAGATGAGGAGGCCGTCGAAGACCCCGATATCGAGCCAGTGCAGCGTGTATTGAGCATGTCCCCTCCTGGTATCTTGCAGGCCTCTACGTGGATCAGGGACGCTTCTGTCGACGCAACGCGACGTGTACTCAGCAAGCCTCTTACTGGTCTCCTGCGCAATACTACTTGGCCTGGTATAGGGGACGATCCAGCAGACAGTTCCTTCGTCGAGCCCGTACAACGTGTACTCAGCAAGGCTCTTACTGGTCTCTCGCGCAACTCTACATGGCAAAAGGATGATGATGCACCGGTAGACGAAGCCGTTGTTGAAAGTGTAGAGCGTGGACTCAGCAAGGCTCCTACCAGCGTCTCGCGCGAATCCGAATAGCAGGAGGATACGCCTACTGACTTCGATACTACTCAGACTGGTCAGCACGACGATGAAGACGAGTCGTTCGGGGAGCCTACGCAGCCTACACTCGAAAAGGTCAACACTAGCCTCTCACGCGCATCTACGTGGCACGGTAACAGACCTGTCGAAGATGAAGAGCCCGGAGCTGACTTTCCGGGTCTCCATGAGGATGATCTGGTCGCCACAATCGTACGGAATGTTCTCAGCAAGATGCCCTCTGGTTTCTCACGCGCATCCACATGGCAGGACAACAAGACTGTCGACATTGAAGACATCGGGGCTGACGTTTCGGATCACCAGGAGGACGATCTGGTCACCGCAATGGTGCAGCGTGTTCTCAGTAAAGCGTCCACTAATATCTCAAGCAAGCGAACCTGGCCCCATTCTAAGACTCCCAACACCGCCGAAGATGAAATCCAGAGCGTTGTCGATAACAGTGTTGACGAGCTTCGGCTTAGTCGCGCACTGACTCGGATTCTCAGCCAATCGAAAGAGCCTCGATCTGCTGGTCAAGAGCCATACAAGGCTGAAGACGTTTCGCCTGAAGAGATCTAGGAGGTGCTTCGAGTGGCGAGAGACGAGCTTCCGGCTGCTGTTGCTTCGATCACCGCCGTCTTGCAGACATTGCCAGCTGCTGAACATGCGCCCAGTGACGAGATCAGTGACGTTATGGAGCCCGATCAGCATGTTGAGCTGGCATATGAAGCGCAAGATAACCCGCAGTATGATACAACGGACGATCCTCAAATCGAGGCGCAACTTCCGAGTCAAGTGAGCCAAAGATACGGCGAAGCCACGTCTGATACTTACAGCGACCACTACACTGTATCACCGGTCATTGAAGAAGAACCTGAGTTCCAGCCTCCTGTGCAGCGAATTCGCCGAACAAGTACAGCGCCATCTCTTGCGCAACGACAAGAATCGTTCATACCTGGCTCAATAGCTGTCTCGATACCTTCCAGTTATTCTTCCGTAGTGGAAGATTTACCGGAATCGCCCGTTTTATCACGCACAGCTTCGTTCTCCCCTACGCTTGGTACTCGCCGGACAGCTACCATGTCACCATCTCAGTTACGACAAGGTCCTTCAAGCCCACTATCTATCGCTGATAACGCATCTGAAGAACCCATTCTCTTGGGTCTAGCTTCACGCCAGCCAACGCTTGCAAGCCGCCGCACCAGTACAGCAACAGCCAGGATTCAGCGACAAGACTCTGTTAGGCCCACTTCACCACCTAGTGCGGATGATCTAGAAGCACAACCTGTGATTTCGCATGCGACTTTCCGCCAACCTACACTGCAGACCCGCCGCACAAGCAGTGCAAAAGCCAACGACAGGCGACAAGACTCTATCAGGCCCGCTTCTCCGTCTACTGCATATGACTTGGAAGCACAGCCACTCATCTCACGTGCGCCTACACGACAGGGCACGTTAGGGATGCGTCGAACAAGTACCGCAACAGGTAGCGTCCAGCGCCAGGACTCTATCAGACCCACTTCTCCATCTGTTTCGTATGACTTGGAAGCACAACCTCTCATCTCGCGAGCGTCCACGCAACAGGGCCCGCCAGGGATTCGTCGAACAAGTACTGCAACAGGTAGCGTCCAGCGGCAAAACTCTGCCAGGCCCACATCACCACCTGCTATGGATGATTTGGAAGAAGAGCCCGTCTTCTCGCGTGCAGCTTCTCGGCAGGGTACGCTATTGGTTCGTCGAACAAGTACGATGTCGCCGACTATTGGACGGCAAGAGTCGATGTTAGCCACCTCGTTGCCTGCAGCAGAAACCTCGCTTGAGCAGCCGGCCCTCTCGCCTGTGGCCTCTCGGCAGGGTACGCTAATGGCTCGTCGAACAAGTACGATGTCACCGACTGTTCAGCGGCAAGAGTCGATGTTAGCCACCACGTTGCCTGTGGTAGAGCCCTCGCTTGAGCAACCGGCTCTCTTGCGTATGGCTTCTCGTCAACCCACGCTACCCGTCCATAGAACAAATACGACATCACCGACTGCCCGGCGACTGGACTCCATTGTACCAACGTCATCACCTGTTGCAGACGAATCGATTAGGCAGCCAATTCTTCTACGTGCAACATCACGTCAGCCTACGCAAAGGGTTGAACGTACAAGCACAGTGACACCGGCTATTCAGCGGCAGCCTTCGACTATACGCACCCCCTCACCTGCGGCAGAGATCTCATCTAGGATGCCAGTTATCATTCGTGTGGCATCGCGACAGCCTACACAGGGGTCCCGTCGAACAAGCACGATACCATCAGTTGTACAGCGAAACGACTCTCCAAGGCCCGAAATCTCTCCTGTCCTGTCTCTCGCTGCGGATGACGTAAATGATCAGACGTTTCCGCCTCTTGATTCACGCCGGTCTACGGTGGAGGTCCGTCGAAGAAGCTCAGTACCGAAAACTGCTCAGCCAAATGACTCTCCAAGCCTCGAAACCTCTCCAGTTCTGTCTCTTGCCATGGACGAATTGCCTGATCAGCTATATGCATACTCTGATACACGTCAGACTGCGCTCGAAGTTCGTCGGACAGGCACTGCTCCGACAGATGAGCTTGTCACATCTCCCGATCTGTCGCCTGCTGAATAGGATACGCTTGCACAGCCCATGTCATCTCGCCGGGTTTCACGTCAGCCAACGCGTAAGGTAACTATCCGTGAGGCCGAGATTTATCGTGCGCCTTCGCCTGAGCCTCCATCGGACACAGAGGATGTTCTTGAGCCGGCGATCTTGTCGCGTTCTATCTCATCCCAGCCTACGCGCATGGCGAGCATTCTTGCTATATCTAAAAGTCCTGTGGATCCGTCAAGAGAAGCAGATGATGCCGCATCCGAGCCTTCGGTAGACGCAGAAGTTACACAGCGCTCTTTCGAGCGGCAAAGAACCGATCGGAGGGAAACGATGCCCAATGAGCGGCTCACCATAGCTGACAGAACCTTGTCTTCCAGTCTTCCGCTTCGTACTCGTACTGGATCTCTGATTTTCCGAAGTGCCGAGCAAGATGTTGAAGCGCCGCTTGATGAACGAACAGAACTTGAGAGGCAGGAGGTTCCCGCATCAATCCACGTCCCTGGCCGCGATGAGGACACTGATCAGGTTGGGAGATCGCCCACGACCGCTTTCGAGGCTGACTCGGAACCTTTCGCGCTCCATATGTATCAGCGAATGGCCGAGGAGCCATCTGAAGAAGAACTTGAGCCCGAGAGCCAAAGCGCTACATCAGTTGGTGTCAACAATCTCGAAGAACCGGCTGGTCAGTTCGAAAGAGCATCCACTGCGAATGTTACATTCGATCCCGAATTACTCGCACTTGACGTTTATCAACGAATTGCCGAAGAACCGCTTGAAGAGGACTCTGAGGCTGAAAGTCAAAGCGCTATCGCGTCGACCAATGTCAACGTCATTGAGGCAACGAGTAGTCGAATCCAGAGAGCACCGACTGCTAATTTATTATCGAATCCGACCTCTTTTGCGCTCCGCGTATATCAACGCATCGCTGACGAGCCACTTGGGGAAGAACCTGAGCCCAACGCTATTGCGCCGACGAACTCCAACAGCACTGAGGATATGACTAGTCAAATTGAGAGAGCACCGAATACTCAAGTCTCTCGGACAGTAGAGCCCTTGGAACATGTCAAAGCTCGAAGCCCGACTGGCACGATGCCCCCCGTTGAGAGACGTGCCACACAGACTTCCCCCGGGTATCCAGCGAACATACCACGGGCTGTAACAATAGCTCGCGACGTAGAGCGCAAACAAAGCAGTGCTGCTCCTGACCAACTCGATAGAGCACTTACCATGCGATCCTCTCCAGCACTGGAGCCTTTGGTATATATCGACCCTGAAGGCCTGCCATCAAAGACTGTCCCTCTCGAAAGAGTGAGGACACAGGCCTCACCTGAACTCTCAGTCGATGTACCACGGGCGTCAACAATACCTCTCGAATCGAATCGAAGACGAAGTAGCGCTGCTCAAGGGTTCATGCCATCCGCCCGAGGATCAGAGCCTTCAGTACACTCCAGCGCCGAAGCTGTGCTCGATGAGACCCCGCAGGTACAGGGAAGATTGAGAGTAGCGCCCACAGAGCCTCGCACAACTGATCGTCGACGCAGCAGTGCGGCCCCTGGTATCACAGCGTCTCCTCCACAGACCATCCCTGAAGGCATAGAAGTCGGAGCTCAAACTAAAAGCCCGACGAAGAAGCGGAAGCAAGGTGCGAACTACCCACCTGAGCAGCAATATCCGCCAGCGCCTGCATATCCCCTACGGGAGACTCCCTCATGGACGAAGCCGGACACTCGGACTCCATCACCAAAGGTGAAAGCTGAGACTCCGCCCAAGAAGAGAGGATGGCTTAATCTCGGGGCCAAGCCAGAAGAAGGGTCTGCTGAGTTAGAGGGAATCAAATCCCGTCAATCAAGCCAGCCTGCCCTAGACCCATCAGAAGTGCAGCCATTTCTGGACGCGGCACCTGGGTCGCCAGAAGCCCCAGGGGGAACGCAAAAAAGGCAAAACAGCTATCCGAACCAAACCAGACAGGCTACCTATCGTCGAGACTCCAGTGCCCCTCCTATCCGAAGGGCCGACACTCGAACAAGACAACCCTCCGTCTACGCTAACAAGGGCGACTACTACCCAGTCAGTCCGATCCTTCCAGACCGCATTGACAACGATTCGCAGCTCCAGCCTTCACCATCTCGAAGAAACAGTTACTCCATCCCACAGTCAGCCTCAATACCCGAGAATTCGCCTCAGGACGAACCGCGTGCGCAGTACTTCCGTCGCGTCTCGTCAGGCCCCTCCCGCCGCCAATCGCAATCCCAAGGAGCTCTCTACATCCAGAAAGATGTTGCAGTCAGTTCCAGAGCACCTACGTTCCAAAATAAGCTGGAGACTGAGGACGAGACTTCTCGAGCGAATCAAGAACGCCATGAAGAAGACTTCCAGGAACCCGTCCGGAAAGACGTACGCAGACCGACTGGAATGGGAAGCCCAACCTCGAAAGCAGAAGCAACGCCCAAAGAAGGAGCTCAGTCGCCTGAGACGCGGCAAAAGTTTTCTCCGGTTCCCCAGAAAGAAGGCCCGTCAGACGAAGGAGAGTCAGATCATTCGCCGAGCAGGTTTCCGGAACTGTCTGGTGCTCAAGTGCCAAGGGGACAAGAGCAAGAGCCAACAGCACGAACCGAAGAACAAAAGCGGACTGAAGTGGTTATGGAAGAAGATCCCGCGCCTGCCGACGCCAAGGGTGCACATGATGAAGACATACCCACCCGCCGTCGCATCGATAGCTCAAGCGGGCCCTTCGAAGATGACAATGCCTGGATCAACAGCACGGTTGACCTCTCGCGCTCAAAGACCATCCCAAGAACATCCACCGGAGATGAAGGTGATCGAAGACTTTCAGGTGCAAACCCAGAAGAAGCGCAAATCGCACGAGCAAACACTCGTCGTGCAACCTCAGGACGAGTGCCTGATTCCGCAACAGCCTCACAATCTGCACGAAAAGATTCAACAACCGCCACGCGAAGGCCATCGTCGTCAGTCAAGAGGACGAACACGCGACGGAAGTCATCAGCAGTCGGAGAAGACAGAGCAGCGCCAATCCTCACAGAATTACCAACGGTATCCAGAGCACCGACACGATCGGCGACGATCCCCTCAATATCTCGACAAGTCAGTATCCGGCGAGGGTCTGCCGCTCCTAGAAGGGGTACAGCAGCCTCCCCAGAAGCTTTGCCAGACATTCAAGCCAGATCAACAAAGGAAGGCAGCTCAAGATCAACCCCGCGGCAAGAGTCCAGAGGTGCGGCCTCGCCTGTCGCGGTACAACCAGGTCGACGGTCATCTACTGCAACTAGAACAGGTACGCCAATCTCCCGAGCGGCGTTACCAGAATTCGGAGCCTCAAGGAGAGGGGGAGACGGACCTATGTCGGCCACATCACAAGGCTCGCGTGGTACAATGTCGCCAGTCCCAGCTTACGACCGGGGAAATTCTCCTGCCGGAATACAACCATCGAAAGGTTCATTGGGTACAACCCAGCGCGCAGACCAGATCTCAGAACAACAAACCCAGTCAAGCCCACGAACAGAACCAAGCGATGCTAAGCCAGCAATGCCGCGTCGAGTGACCTCATACGGAATGTATGAGTCCAGCTCTAGTGATCCGTATGCTTTACCCAAGAAGGCACCGCGGAAGGCAGCTGCCCTAGCCCCTTCAAATGCCAACGCAAGTCTGTCACCAGCGACGCAGCAGATTGATCCCAAACCTCCGGCGCTCACTCGCAGAGACTCACTAAAGCCACGGCGCAGTCCCACGTCAAGGATATCAGAACTTTTCGGGCGAGAGAAGGGCGCTAGCCCTGGGAATGGAAGCCAACAGAAGCAACAGCAACTACCCCCACTGGGTGCCACGAAGACCGGCTTAGCGCCTGCATCAGCTGCAGCTGCAAAAGTATCTGAGACGGATGCAGCAGTGAAGTCATCCCAAGCGCAGCAAGCACAGCCAGTGAAGGTTCAGGCAAAAGCTGCGCAAGGAAGTGGAATTACGAATCCTCTAAGAGGGCGCTGGGGATGGGGATGGGGAAGATGACCGATTCTAAGTGTGGAAATGGGTGGTTAGTGGGATTATGAGAAGGATGCCGATGCCCTATGATAGGTTTTAGTGCGTGGGGAAAGACAGCTCGACCACCTAAGTATTGAATTGACTACTCCAACTCCCTAATCAGCTTGTGTCACTTCCTAGGAACAGGTGATATCACAACATCGCGTCCAAATCACAACTAATGGCCTAGCTCCACTTGTACAACGAATATGTGATATTCTTCGCACCAAGTTGACAGGCCTGCATACTTGTGTTGAAAAGGGTCCAATTCCAAGGCCCGAGTTCCGTCTTAACCACGTCATTTACGTCTTGACATCGCTTTAGTTCCGCGCTAACCCGCACTAAGAAGCTCACTAACCGCATTATCCGGAGTATGAAGGTTGCAAAGGAGAAGAAGCATCGTCCATGGAAAGTCTAAGTTGTCGCTGGACTGAGACGTCTGCGTCATACGTGGCAGTCGTCATGGTAAACGCCAGTACATACATACAGTACTGACATGGGCCCGATTCAGTAACAAGTCGCATGATCAATCGCTCCATCTCTTCAAGACCGTACCTGCAGCCAACCAAGTTATCATTGTCGTTCCTGCATCGCACCTCTCTGTCAGTCTAAACAATTGCAATCATGTTCAAAACACCACTATACGTATTCATCGCCTTCTTCAGCGTTCTGGCTGCATCGCAAGAAGTCCCACCAGGTGTCACGAGCCTCGGTGGCATCAATCCAACAGTCGTCTCCTCAGCTGCAACCATTGTATCTGCGTCTTCGGCATCTGATGCATCGGCTCAAGCGACTAGCACGGGTGCGGCGAATGCTCACGGTACGTGATCTTGGCTTTCGGTCTCTGTCTTGGTCTAGGGATTTCGAAAGGCGGTACTATTGGGTAGAGTAGAAAGCTGACTTATTGCAGAAGTGAAATATGCTGCTTTGTTCGGTGTGGGAGGCGCGGCCTTCAATGCATTTATGTAGAATCAGGGTTGGACATGATGGGAATTGGGTGTTGGAGGTGTCGCAGTCTCCCACACCAACAACGCCACAGCGTTCTTTACAAGATACTTAGAGCATAAGGAGAATGTTTATCCTACATGAATTTAATCGGAAAAGACAAGAAAAAAACTAGTTTACCCCATCTCCCCGATTCTCAGATACCCGAGCCCGCAGCCCGTAAGAAAAAGCAACTTCCCGAGGCCCCAGCCTCCCACACGCACCAGCTTCCGCGGACCGACCCCTAGAACGTCATCACTTCCAAGCTTGCATCCCTTCCCCGATCTACACCCGCGCCACCATCCACATTCCTCGACGCGCCCTTAGCTCCAAATACACTCTCAAGCCACAGAACAGCCCTGCATCAAAGCATGTGCCTTCGTACTCGTACCTCCATGGTTCATCCCAACCCACTGCCGTGACATCTCGCCGCGATGAGATCGTCGTCCAAGAGCGATTGTACTCTTGGAAGGGTGATTGTGGCTTTTGTTCTTGACGATTTGGGACGAGAGGCTGAGGCCATGCAGATGGGTTGTGCTGTTTGAGTGGTTTGATGGGTGGAACAGGGCGCAATGGACATGGTTTCTGGACTGTATTTGGAGGGGATAGGGATAGAATGGGATGAGATGGGTGATGCAATAGTATGGATTTGGATGGATGTAGAAGATTCGTACAAGTTCGGTTAACTCCTCAACCGCCAATATATCTACCACCATATCGAGACATGACAACTGAGCTCAAAACACTTCCACTGACTGTGAATACCAACGCATTTGCGAATTCCTTCTCAGGTTCAGGAACGCTGCTATCGACATTGAGTTGTGAAAGTTCTCTTGCCATTTCTCTTTCCACTTCCACCTGGATAGCCAACGTGACAAATTTCGCGGCTTCGTCGTTGGGAAGGGAATAAGTCTTCCGAACTTCTTCCACTGTGTTCACAAGGTAGTGCACCTTTCTCTCTACGTAGGCTCTTTTCTCTTTATCGAAAGAACCAAGGTCATTTGAAATCGATACATGGTCCGCAAATAGCCTGAGAAATTTGGCAATTCTGGGGCTGGAAATGTCGACAGTTGAACAAAGAGAGAACTTCGTACACGCTATGACGTAACTGGAACTTATAATTAGTTTCCTTCGTAATGTGTAGACTATTGATCCGTACTTACGGGACAGCTGCGTCGATTATCCTATAGTCCAGAAATTCTCTCAGACTGTGGAATTCGGTGGGGGGCGGGGGGTGATTGATGAAATCCATCAATCTTGCAACTACCTCGGCTCCTCCGTCACCGATGATGCCATCTTGATCATGAAGGCCTTGGATAGTAGCATGCATGGCCTTCTGCAAGATCGAGACTGGTTCATCGTCTCCGTAAGGCATTTGAGCCTTTAGTCGTGATACGAATTCGTTCTGAAATGTTTGGATCTGCCATTCAGCTGTTAAATATGTGGAGCCTCAACAGTTTGGAACGACTCACTGTACTTTCGTCACTCATCTCCCATACATCTGTACCAGAAGTGATTAGAGTAGTAATATTTCTTGTAAGATTCCGCTTACCATCAAAGATGAAGATGTAGACAATAGTCTCAGCGATGAGTTTCAGTCGCTCCTCGCTTGCAGCCGGCCACAGATAAGCACAGAACCGAGTCCAGTTATCATGTAACATCGGCAGCTCCTTAGCGGCTATCTCAGAGTACGATTTGCCTCCATTCTTCAATATACTTGTCGCAGTTTGGTCGGAAGCAAAATGCTGTAGCAGCACTCGTGTTGCTTCTACAGCCATTGGCCAGTGTATGTTCTGTCTTACATGGTGAATCGAAGAATACCATGGAAGTTTTGCATGTACAGGAAAGACAGGAATGCTGTTCATGCTAAGTCTTTCACACTCCTTGATCAAGTATCCAGTTTCAATCTGAACTGCGTTGATGACTGGCTCAACACTGATAGTCTCAGCCTTCAGATCAGGGAAGCAGGACAGGTCGACAAAAGGTGGCATGGACGCTTCATTTGTTGGCATGTAGTCGTGACTGTATCTGACTGGCCAGACAAAACCATTGTGGTCTTTGGAGTTGAACAACCCTAATGGAAGATTAGTTTCATCTAAAGTATACGACACGTAGAGCTAACCAAGGTCAATGTCTTGCTTCGCTTCCATCATGACGATCCGTTCAAGAGTAGAGAAGGGAGTAGAGTTCAGGCCGTTGTCTTTGTGCGAATACAGACAATAAATACCTTCATATACGCCTCTTAACCAGGCGCCATTGTTGTAAAGCAGGGGTACTTCTTACGTCCACGTCAGCAGCATAGTCGTGTTCAATCACCTTTGCAATCTTTCCTTAAACGTCCACAGCAAAAAAGAAGCTATTCCGTTTCTTTTCATTGCCGCATATAATCATCAAAAGCCTATTGGTTACTGGCGATCCTTAGATAAAGGCGGCGAGCGTCATCAGAATCTCTTGGGCTTCCCACTCCATCCACCACAATGTAGAAATGAGAACTCCCAGCATGCTTTCAGGTAACAATGGAATCTCGGGACTGAATAACCCAAGAGTCCGTCGAGCTTCTCTGAAAAGAGATCATCGTTTTGTACATGTTCTTCTAGCGATGTTGTAGTGTTGAGTTGTGGGAATGTTGAGTTGTGGGGGTGTTGAGTTTTGTGGGTATTAATTACAAGGGCACAACCAGTTTTACGAATCACGCGTTATGGCACATCACTCACAGAGGTACGGTAAAAGACGCTATCCTGAGAGCGACCCTGAGGCGGCAATATGAGACCCACGCCTGCATCTGGCCGTGCGTTGAACAGGCATCGTCGGAGGGTTGTCGCGCTGCACTGTTGTGATGTGGAGCCCTCGACAGCTCAGCGTGTGGGCCGAACGACAAATAGCCAACGATAGCCAGCGACGACAGCTATCAACAGGCCACCCCCAACGCTGCATACAGCTCCCATCGCCGACATGCCACCGCCTGCTTTCTCAGCCTACAATCTGCCTTGCGATGCACCTCACGTGCGATGGTGCTTGACGGCACATGACCAAAAAGAGGGCAATTTGTGGACCTGCATCAACGCATGTGGTCTGTGTACCCGCACCTTCTACGGTTCCTCTCAGCCCACTACCGTGACATGTCGCTGCGATGAGATTATCGTCCAGGATTGATTGTACTCTTGGAGAGGAAGGTGATTGTAGCTTGTATTCCTGACGATTTGGGATAGGAGGCTGAGGCCATGTAGATGGGTTGTGCTGTTTGACTGTACGTGGAGGCGACGGGGAAAGAATGTGATAAGGTGAAGTCATGCAATATTATCGATTTGGATGCATGTAGAAGATTGCGTACATGTACATGTACAAGTGGGTGATGGCATGGTACTTTATCTTCAATTCCAACTCCAATCTCTCGCACTACGTACACCGCCGCATACAAAGGCTGTTGTTTATTCCAAGGCCTGAACTGTCCAACATCGTCTTCTTCTACCCACCAAATAATGCCAATAAGAAAAACCCATCCGCAATGCGTTCCTTTCATCCGCCTCAAGTCTCCTCTTTTCT